TTTTTTGACATCTTGGATAAATAAAATTATATATTAAAATTATAATATACTTTGAAACAAAAATATTTATTTATTCTATAAAGATAATTTTTTTTTAATTAAGTTAATTAATTCTATTTTTTAAATTAATATTTTGTATTTATAAAAAAATGCATTTTTTTAAATAAAATATGAAGTTTTTATTTATTCAAGATATCTAATTTAAAATTATATATATTAAAGAGTGATATTGTGGAAAATGCAAAAAAAAAAAAAAAAAAAAAAAAAATGAAATTTTTTTTAGATTTAAAAAAAAAAAATTTTGTATTTTTTTTTAAAATTAAAAAAAAATAAAAATTTTTTTTTTTTATATTTAAAAAAAATTTCATATTTTTTTTTTTTTTATTTTTTAAAATTTTTAAAAAATTTTAAAACTTAAAAATAAAAAAATATTTTTTTATTTTTAAGTTTTAAAATTTTTTAAAAATTTTAAAAAATAAAAAAAAAAAAAATATGTAATTATTTTTAGATATTAATAAAAATCATATTATCATATTACAGTTGTTAAATATCTATCAAACTTGACAGATTAAAGTTAACAATAATTGGATTAACTAGACATAAGAAAAGTATATATCTAAAAATATGTTTTTATCATTATTTAGTACAGAAATATATATATGTATATATATAAGAATTTTGCGTTTAAATTATTTGAACTGTTTGGAGAATATTTACAAATTTTTATAGTAAAACATATCATTCAAGCATCTGTAGCCAAATTATATTGGCAGTATTTTGCAGTTATAATATTATAACACTGTAAGGAATAAAAAAATATTTATACGTATTCATAATGTTCTTATGTAAATCAATTAATTATAAACTTAATTATTAAAAGCATATTTTCATCCAGTTCAAATATATGTAATTTTTAATATTTTTTATAAGGTGGCCGCTTATTGGTATTTATTTTAATGTATAAAACACAGAAGAAATGTCACATTATAATATACACAAATCATGATTAATATATTTGTGATCCATGCTGATTTTTGTTATTAAAATTATCTATTAAAGATTTATATTAAGAAATTAATTATATATAATTCTAAATGTAGACTTTATTTTTTCTTTTAAATAAAAAAGTAGAACTTTTGTTAAAAGGTAGAAAAAATTGTACCATTGAATGAAAAAAACAAATGCAGTTATAAAATTCTTAAATAACTCAAATTGTAATACTTTTCTTTTAAGTACCCCTTAATAATGTTCTTTAAAAAACAAATATGTTCTAATGAACATTAAATTGTATTCTTTCGTAAAAAATACAATTTGTAAATAGAATTATATGGTAGGAACCACCTATCTATCCTTTCTAAAAGAAGGAGTCATTATTTATAACAAAAAATAATATTATATATGAGAACTATACATAAGCTTTTTCAGTCAACCGTTACAAGACTTCGTCTTCTTTTTTAGAATTAATCAGATCATCAAAGACTGATTTTTTTACTTTTAAAACTAATAAAAAGTTAGATTAGTCCTCGTTTTTTCTTATAATCTTCTAAATTCAAAGATCGTCGAGGTCCAGTATCCTTGATATTACTAATAGGTTTCGGTAATACACTAACAGGATTATCTAAAAAAAGAGGAAAATAAATATTATGTATATATTTCATATTAAAAAAAAACATTTATAGAATAAATTTAAATATATTTGTTGCATGACTTACTTGGAATTGGTACTTCTAAATCTATTGTGATATCAAAGTCATGAGCATTAAATAAATCTTCAGTACTTTGTTTTTTCTTTGTTTCTTGACCATTTTCTTTTTCATTACATACTGTCACTGTCTCAGTTTGTTGAGGACTTACTTTATCATTTACTAGAGCAGTAGATGATATCTCTTCATCTTCTGGTTTAAAAACCATTCGTGGTTTTGTACTTCGTCTGGTAAATGGATCATCTACTTTTTTACCTTTATTAGCTTTAAACTCTTCCTGTTATATAAATAATGTACAATATATATAGATTAACATTTTAATAATTTTATATTTTAAGGTAAATATTTTATAGCTTACCATGATTGCTTTTTCTGCTTCTTCAACATTCTTTTTGCGGTTTCGATCATTAATATATGATATACTAGATATTGTTGCAGTACGCATTTTATCAAGTTCGGAAGCACGTTCTTCAAGTTCACTTAATTCTTGATTAAGTCGACTGGCAGTTTCATCATCTCCTCTACAATTAGCTGCATCTCTTTCACGCATAAGTTGTGCTTTTTTCATTGCATAATTATATGGTGTTTGTTTAAATCTTTCTTTTTCTCGTACTATTTTTTCTATATCTTCTTCCTTAAATTCGTATACTAAAGCTTCTTTAATATCTTTTAATTTTTGTTCAACTTCTTCAAAAGTAGGCATTGATATTCCTTGTAAAGCACAAGTTTCTTTCCATTTGAAAAATTCAGATTCGGTAAATTCTTGATTCGATACAAATTCTAATCTAAATACACGTTCTTGGGCGCCATGTCTTAGTTTTAATCCTTTATTTGTTCTTGTACCACCAAGTTGATATATTTTTCCTGTTTCACAAACACCACTAATTTCAGCTACTCTGTATACAGGTTTACCATTATTGTTTCCAATGCCAATTCTAACAAAACAACCTTGCACCACTCTATCAAAGAAAGGTAAATGTACAAATCTTTCCATTTTATGACGAGATAATCTAATTTTATTAAGATCTTCCTTAGTACTGACATATATTGGCTTTTTTGGTTTGGCTTTATTACTGGTAATAGATCTGCAAAATCATTTGATTATTAATTATTAATATTTAACTAATGTTTTTAATAAAAAAAAAAGAAAAAGAAAAAAAGAAAAAACTGACTTTTTATCAGTGTCAGAATCAGTATCCCTACTATCACTTGAAGATGATCTACGTTGAGATGATGGTTTAGTAATGTCTTCTTCTTCACCACTATCTGATGAACCACTATCATCAGAATAAATATCAGATGCTTTAAGTTTTGTTTTATTTGCTCCTCCTTTATGATCATCTTCTAATTCTTCTTCTTCAATATCCTTTGATTGTTGTTGTTGTTGTTCTATCCTTTGTTTTTCTTTTTCCTCTAATTAAGGAAAAAAAAAAAAA